GAGACGGGATGAGGCTGGTAGGTAGGAGATGGGGGTGAGAAATTTCTAAAGAAGGGTCTAGACCCGAAACGTCAGCTTTCCTGCTCCTTTGATGCTGCTTGGCCTGCTGTGTTCATCCAGCTCTACACCTTGTTATCTCATAATCTCAGCCAGTATGTGAATTGAATCCACAGTGTTGGCATTGCTTTGCATCACAACCAAGCCATTCAGCTAACTGAGATAACTGACCCCCCTCTCATAAGGATGTGATTGCACTAGAGGATACAGAAGAGATTCACGAGGATGTTGCTTGGGCTGGAGCAATTTAACTATGAAGATAGACTGGGTGGGTTGGAATTGTTTTCCAGAGAATTCTATGGCGGGATCTGATTGAAATGTGAAAGTTCTGAGGTTGTAGAAACCACAGGGCACAGTCTTAAAGCAAGAAGCAGAACATTTAAGTGTTTTGAAGACCCTTTTCCTTCACAGGGTTGTGGTTGTCTGGAACTCATGGTAGATGCAGGAAGCCTCAAAATGTTTTAGAACATGCTAGATGAGCACTTGAAACAGAGTAGCATACAGGCTAAGTGTTGGAAAATAGGATTGGAATAGATTGAGTTTTGATGATAGGTGTGGACAGGATGAGCAGAAGGACTTCTTTCTGTACTGTAAAAACTATGACAATTGGATATTGACCAAATCAGCAGTTCCCCTGTTTTGTGATAAAATACTAAATTTTAATTAAAATTTCTCTTAAATGTGTAAATTTCATTTGTCCAATTCATTTAATAAGAGATATTTGAACGTGACATTCTCAGAGGGGATTTTATTGACCTGAACTAACCAGCTGGTTACTTGGTGATATTTAGTCATTTAAGGAACTTACAGTATTGCAACATATTGGAATGTTTAAGTCAGTCAAATTGACAAATTTTCCACTTTTACCAAACCAATAAGAGACTGATTTTAAAAAGAAGTTGTGAGAGGAGAGGTGAACATTACGTTGGGGTGAGGTGGGAATGCTGAGTTGTATTGGGTACCCAGCAATCCCTGGAGCTGAGAGTGCTAGAGTCCAATGATATTCCGCCCGATTTACTTAGAGCTCTGTCACTGTGTATAGCTCTAAGCAAATCGGCGCAATAAATAGTTACTCCCGGAGGAAAACAGCCGACGTTTGTGTGTTTGGAGTTCCCAAGGGACCATCAGAGAGGGGCAATATGAGCTCATTATCCAATAGTAATGGTGGTATCCGTGCAATTCTGGCCACTGTGGTAGCTGCAAAACATCGCAGTCAGGCGCCAGTTATTTAAATTTAGATCTCTTAAGCTTTCCGTGTAGACTTGTGTGTTGAATGAATAGTGTGAAATAAATCATTCGAACACCCTACACCCGGAACTGTTTTAACTAGAGATGTAGAAAAACAGTAAATTATTCGTGGCGCATTATAACCTATGATGGTTGCTGTCGCCAATCTCTTCATCTAATCTGAGTTCTGAGGAAGGGTCACCGGACCCGAAACTCTTTTTGTTTTCCCTCCACAGATGCTGCCAGACCTGCTGAGTTTTTCCAGCAACTTTGTTTTTGCTCTTCAGCTAATCAGCCAGCTGAGGTCAGGCCAACAGGAATACTTGTTTAAAGAACTGTTACGAAACTTGAGAAATAAGTTACAGGTCACGAGCACCATTATTTTTAAGTCTAAGACACGGCATTGTGAAAACCGGTTTGAACGCCGGAAAATCATGACTGCCTTTGATCTAAATGAGAGCGAACGCTGTGGCCGATACCTTAGCGTGAACTAGTGCAAGAAAGTGACGCATAGCACAAATCACTCCATCTTATTTGTTCTTTTGCATTGTTCAAGACTTCTAACGACGTAAATACGCCACTAAAATGGTACACTTTCCCAGGAAAATGTGGGACACATTTTCTTAGACTTCCCACCACTGCGCAATGAAGCTGTGGCAACAGAATGAGGAAATTAAATTTCAATTGAAAAGATAATTTTCTTAATCGGTACAAATGGGGCACAAACTGCAATTGGAAACCCCGAATATGGGCCATATCCCTTAATACTTTGGTTTAACCAAAAGAAAACTATCCCAGGTTTAAAAGTAACAACTGATCTAGCGACACCTACCCTAAGTGCAAGAGAGTTCCAAAGGTCTACTACCCTTTTGTAAACAGGAATGTTTCCTAACATCTCTTCTGAATTGTCTGGCACTGATTCTCAGATTATGCCCCGCCTCCCCCTCCCCCCAATTCTGGAATCCTCAACCAGTTGCCAGTTTTACATTCCAAGATATGAAGATAAACCTAAAGGATTCAAGCTTTTTGCTCAATTGAGGAAAGTGAATACAACGAAGTAGAATCTCCAGCAGGGGAAACAAGCCACTCTCCCATCTCGCCTATACTGGTGTTCATACTTTGCTGAGCCTCTGCCCACACTTTTCTGGTATCCATCAAGCCTTCCTAAAATATATTGCTATTATCTCCATGTGACAGTGATTTTCATACTTGCATTACCATGTGTGTAAAGACTTTTTGTTGAGAGGGTGCAGAAAAGATTTACAAGGATGTTGCCAGAACTGGAGGGTTTGAGCTATAGGGAGAGGCTGAATAGGCTGGGACTATTTTCCCTGGAATGCAGAAGGTTGAGGGGTGACCTTATAGAGGTCTATAAAATCATGAGAGGCATGGTGATGGTGAATAGTTGAGGTCTTTTCCTAGGGTGGGGAAGTCCAAAACTAGAGGGCATAGGTTTAAAGCGAGAGGTGAAAGATTTAAGAAGAACCTGAGGGGTAACTTTTTCACGCAGAGGATGGTGCATGTACGCAATGAGCTGCCAGAGGAGGTGGGTACAATCATTTATAAGGCATCTGGATGGTATATGAATGGGAGGGTTTAGAAGGATATGGGCCAAATGTTGGCAAATGGGACTAGATCAGATTGAAATGTCTGGTTGGCATGGACAAGTTGGACCGAAGGGTCTAATTCTGTGCTGTATGACTATTTATTTAATTTGGTACTAGCTGCCCTTATTTTTATGTGGGTGGTGCTGGTAGCTGAGGATATAATGTTTATTTTTAAGGAGGTTTTTAATTAGGTTTTTGAAGAAACCAAAGTAAACTGTATGCAACTTCAGTCATATTCACATTGAAAAAGCCATATTTAGCACATTATCAAGATTAAAACAGCAAACATGAGATAAATTAAGAAGTAATGCTGAAGCAATGCTAAGCCTCTTGTATGAGATAGAAGACTGATAAAAGGAATCCTACAGCTTGAAAGACCTAGGAAACATTACGCTACATTAGCAGGTTGTGCAACAAATTTTCAATTCATCACAGGAGTCAGGAGAAATAATGACTGTGCAGAGCTTACTAAAATAAGAGACTAATGTTCTGTGGGCCAATGATCATATTTGTGTCAATAAATTGCACAAAAGAGTAAAACAGTGCAAAGAGCAAATAGCTTCTGGAGTTATAGGCAAGAAAAAGACCATTTCTCAGTCAACAGGCTTTTGTTTCTTTTTGAGGATTATGAGAGTGATAGTACAAGACAATCCTATATATTGGTGCTGTTTTCACTTTATTAGGTTTTGCTGAGAATTAAAGATTACCACAAAAGCAAAAACAGAAAATGTTAGGCAGGCAAACAAAAAGAATCATATCATTTAGCTCAGATAGAATTATTCTAGATGGACAATTTAAAGGGCAATAATCAAGCTATCCTTTAAAAAGTGGTTGGAGTAACCTTTGGTTAAGAACTGGATTTAAGAGAAGTACCATTAGAAATAATCACAAGCAATTTATATGCCGATGGCTTTCTGTTTTAATATCAACATTGCACATTTATTTTAAATAGACGTGAAAGAGTTTGTGAAATTGAATTCAATTTTTCATTTTGCCTAAAAATTAGGCAATTTCTGAGCTCATACTGGATAAAATGATGAAAGCTGATGGACTGTTACAACTGCTGTTCTCATATCTTTCAGAGAAAGCAGCATACCACCCAGATGGTCAGGTCCACGTGGCTCAAATGCCATGATATATGGTTAACTTCTTGCTTTTAAGGAAACTGGAGGCTGTCTAAAAATAAATACTGTAGTTCCCTGCTGTTTATATTCCAATACTTATTTTTTAATTGGAAAACACAGGTTAATGCTGTGGACATCATTCT